TAATGCATGTCTCCCTATGGGGCTGATACGCTGTGTGAAAATGTAGTAGATCCCATCGCACTCCTGACCGGATAAAGCCCCAACGAAAACTGGGGGGTGCCGAAAGTGACAGCGAATGCCTCCGCACATCAAATGCAAAATACCATAAAGTCACTTGCACTCCGTTTGTAGATAGCAGTCAATATCCTTTATTGACTGAGCATGATGTCACATACACAAAGCGACGTTTCTGGACCAGAAAGTCCCTTCTTCAGGCAAACAACAGATACGCTGTGTGAACACCATTTCACAGCACGTTACTGCCACTAGATGAAGCCAAAGAGAATAGGAAATCCTACGCTCCTTGGCTCCAACTAGTGTCAGTAATTTGCTGCGAACATTGTGTGCACAGCTATATACGGTGTGCGAACCTGTTATAAATCAGCCACTTTGTGTCATGCATGCATCTTGAATTAATATATATATTTGTAAAATTAAGATTTTTTTTCTTCTAATAAGCAAGAAGCATTAACGTGACACTAATCTGAAGAGTTAAATCTTAACAATGCATTCAAGTACCTTCACTATTAACAAAAATGTATCTTATTTGTGTATCACTCAGCTGTAGAAACTCAAATCATCTCTGAATTGGTGCTGACACTGTCCTTCCTTCTGGAGGGTGGCTACTTTTGTTCCCCATTGTCCCTGTGTGTGTTGTAAAGTAGCCACCACTCCAAAATCACTCATGTGATGGACTACAATCTCAATACAAATTAGTAAACTAAATGTAAGATTGTAGTCCATCACAGGAGCTTGGAGCAGTGGCTACTTTACAATACACACAGAACATCAGAGATGATTTGAGGATCTATAGCCAAGTGATGCACAAATAGTTTTTTTTAAATAGTTAAGCTACTTGAATTCACTAGGGTAGGTTGACACAAAAGGATCCCTGCCTCCCACACTTTCTTCAGAAACAATAGTAGGACTCCAGTACTATTGGTAATTACTTTGCGTGGTGCACAGATTTCTGACCATTAATAAAACAGTGACCCTTATAGAAGACCTTTCTTTGTGCATGGTTTCTCCCCAATTCCAGATTTCATTAGTAGGTCACTCAGCAGCTGGAAATAAAATTCCTAGGGGACATTTCTGTGTTATTATTCACATTCAAATCAGAAGTCCCAATTTTAAATAGTCTGGCATACTTTGAGGTATAATATTCTTCAAACCCTTGTATGCAGATTATTATTATTATTACATAGTATGTTTATAGCGCCAACAGTTTGCACAGCGCTTTACAATATAAGGAAGACATTACAATCACAATACAAGACAAGATGGTAAGGAGGGCCCTGCCCCTGGGGGCTTACAATCTATAAGAGATGGGGTAAGTGATACATGAGGAGGTAGCTGTGTGGGGATGAATTGATTGAGAATGTGATGTTGAGTGGTTAGGTTGAGGTGGGATAGGCTTCCCTATAGAGATCCTTAGGGAACGACTAAAGGCAGTTAAGGTGGGAGATAGACAATAGATTAGATGTATGGCTTTAAATAGCACTTCAGGATGCACAGTTGATTACATGAAGTGTGATTTGTGCAGCGCTAAAAGTGAAAAAATAAAATAAAGTAAATAAATATCCCTATCTGAACATATGTAATTATCACAATATAAGTAGTACTCCGTGTATATATAATGCAAACCTTAATACAGTGGTGGTGATAAATCTCTAATTAAATAACCAAAGTGTAAAAAAATTCCTTATCGCTCTTGTGTCATCATGGTAGTGAAAAAGGCATTCCTAGAAAATATCACAAATCGTGAATGGCACATCTGCCAATAAATTATGTAAAACCGTGAATTTGTCTGAACTTTAAAACAGTCCCTATAAGTGAACAATCAGTGATGTGCTTCTGAGTGAATCCAATGAAGACTTCAAGCAAATATTTATAAATTCTTCCCACACCAACGTGTTATGAGTGTCTCCGAATTGCCCCCTTTCGGGTATGCACTCACCCCACAGATGAGGTGATAATGCAGCGATATCAGATCAGAGGGTCCACTTCTCAGATGTCTCTTTCGGCAGTGTTCCGTCCATTATGGATTTGTATAATTACAAAAGAAACCTCCTCATGGTGCGGTATGCATAAACGTTTATTATAAAAAACATAAAAGAACTCACAGTTTAAAATCAAGAGGCCGGCCGGTATATTGTAGCTCCTAAATCGTCTGCTACTTCCTGGTTTGTCGTGGTATCAGTTTGATACCACGTTTGAAACTGATTGTCGTGGTATCAGTTTGATACCACGACAAACCAGGAAGTAGCAGACGATTTAGGAGCTACAATATACCGGCCGGCCTCTTGATTTTAAACTGTGAGTTCTTTTATGCTTTGCAAAGGAAACGGTTCTTCACTGTGGTATAGGTTTGCACAGAAACTGCGCCACAATGGATGCATTTCCATAGGCTCACTCCATAAATGTTTAGTGTTGATCTGTGAAGTTTTTTTTTTTCAACCTGACTGCTAGTTGTTCTGTGATCCTTTTAATTTGTGCATAATTTGCTTTGTTGGATTAAGCTTTTTTCTAAATGCTTTCTTTTTACATTACAGTTGGTGTATATTTGTTTTTGCATAGCAGTCTGGCCCAAGCATTTTGCTATTGTTATTATTGCTGATAATGTAATTGTTTTCAGATGTTTACTTGAAATTACTTGTTTTTTTCTTCATTTAAATGCCCTATAAATACCCTGTTTTAACAGTCTCACTTTGATAATGCTTTGTTTTTACCTTTTATCAGAATGCCATTATAGGCAGGAAATTGAATAATTAGTTACAGTGGCAGAGGAGTAAATTGAGTGTTATTGAATAATGTTAATTCTGCTCAGACAGCTCCTTTCAGATCCTTTTTAGTGCTTCTGATTTTCAGTCAAGAAATCTATATATGGAATACCTTACATGAAATCAATATGGTAGAGCAGCAATGTACACAGCTGTCTTTGAATATTTATTTGAATCATTTAAACTAAAAGATGACTGACTTTTTTTACTCCGCTGAAAGCTTACTGCTGTTAGCATTAAAATAATGACCGTAGCAGGACGCATTGATATTGATCCAAAGCAATAGACGATAAGCATGTCCATCATTTCCTCATTTAATTTTCTCCAAACACATGGAATTAACACTGCCAGTGCAATTCAATTACTTGGTTGATAGTACCCCTCTTTTTCTGAAACCAGAGAGCTGATATAAATAGGTGCCTAAACCTTGCACATAAAATTGAGCGTTTGATAATTATTCCAAAAACATGAACACTCCCTTTGCTGCCAAATCTGAATGATGAATATCTCCATACACACATGAGCATGGGCCAAAGTCTACAGGAAAGTTGTGTGTAGCTTCTAGAATACTAACTTCATACTCTCCTAGACATGGGTCCCTCTAGCTAGCAATACATATTAATAGGACTAGAATGGTTTAGACCAGGGGAAGGAAACTCTGCCATGAGGTCCCATGAGGCATCACAAGATTCTGAGAACCACAGACAGGGGCATGATGGGATTTGTTCTTTTGCCCCAGCTGGAATGCCGAGTTTTCCTACCCCTGGGATAGACACGACAGTCTTGTGTTCTTGTTGGTTTAGTACAGTGCAAGGTGAAGCTCATGCTTTGACAGGTCCTTGTGTGTATGGTACTAGATGGCTCAGTGCAGTCCTTCTGCCATAGCTGTTGGGGGTATCTGACAGCAGTTTGGAGTCTCCCTTTTTTTAATAACTGTGTATGCTGGCCTAATAGGATTCTTTTACTCTATTGGACTGACAAAATGGCCTCCAAAATGTCTGCTCTCTGTATTGCATTTTCTTCTTGCGCTGTTTATTAAGGCAGTGGACAAATTAATATGGAATTCAGGAGCCAGTCTGTCCAATCCAGGAGTCAGTAGGTTTTTTTAGGAGCAAGCTCCTTGACAACAACTAGAGAAAAGCTCAAATGTTATGTGCCACCTGTAACTTTTAAGGAGCATTAGCTACCTGGCTCATGGCATCTGTCCATCATTTTATTAAAGGCCTATTCACAAAAGCCCGTCCGGTAAAACTGAGTGTTCTAGTGAGTGGGCTATTGATTCAATTTTTTAACATTTGTATAACTTTATTTTGAGTGTACATTCCATTCAGTTACCTGCACAGCAGCGCGGTGTGGTGTGCTGCAGTGTGGTGACCTGCGATGTGCACTGCAAAAAATTGGAGCATGTCTACATTTTTTTTGCACTGTGATGTGAACAGGGCACATAGAAAACAATTATTGTGCCTTAGCGGTGACTGGCGTTGTTCGGTCATCTAGTGTGACTGAGCCCTCAATATGTACAGTGAGCTCCCCGTTATCCGGCATCCACGGGGATTGGTAGATTCCAGATAAATGTAGTTTCTGGCTGCTTGAGAGTTACTATTAAAAATAGGTCTAACTAATGCCATACCCCTTACTATACCATACCATAACATAACATAAACTCTGTATTGTCTTCATAATAATATTGAAATGCAGTTAACAAAAGCAAATTAAGACTAATAGACACATTTAAGACAAATAGACACTGTCATTTCCAGGATAATACATCGTGCAGAGCTGCAAAACAGTGAGTACACAGGGTTTTTCTTTCTGGTTAGATGGGAGTACTGGTTAGTCGAATACCGGATAACTGAGGGTTTACTGTAATATTAAATATTGACATAACCTCTGCGTTTTGTAATTTTTAAATATACCAGGAGCCAGATAGTCAATGTTCCTCAAAAATGTAACTTTTGAGGTTCTCTGTAGTAGTTGTCAATGGATCTGGCTCCAAAAAAGACCCTGCTGGCTCCTGGATAGGACAGACTGGCTCCTGAACTCCATAATAACCTGTCAATCTCTCATTTACTGTTAGTAATAATCTAAAGTTACAGTTATGAATAGTTTTTTTATTTTTTCTCTAGGTTGTATGTTTGTTAAAGCTAGAGATGATTAAGTGTGATTTCTCTTCCTTTCTAGAATTCAGAAAGAACTTGCAGAAATAACGCTGGATCCTCCACCAAACTGCAGGTAAGGGACATAATCTAATTTGTTTGCTTGAAGAATGCGGTAGCAGCTTGTTTCCACCTCCGCTGGTTGTTTTAAGTCATGCATACCCATTGTTTGGGGTGTTGGTAGCTTTATATAACAGTAAGCAGGTGTTGCTGAGCATTACACCGTGCAAGAATGTGATTAAGGTGAGGGCAGGAGTGGCACTGAGCTCTTTGTTGTGTACATAGGAATAATGGCTAAAAAATGAACTAGACACTAAATAAAATGTAGGAAACATTCCATCCTGTGATTTGGAGGAAAGGCAGCTTCCAGCGTGTGAGAGTGACAGATCAGCTTACTGAAGCAGATTAATTACACCTATCTTTAGCAGTGCTGTGCAGTATTTGCTGTGTCTTCGCTGACTTATGAACGTTTATGATGTAATTTGCAATCTGGATACATTAGAGAAGTCGGTTTTGTATGTTCATGAATTTGTCTTACCGTGATCACTATTCATTCCTTTTTTGAAATAACAAGGCTGAGGAGCTTTTTCAGTATTATATTATATAAAGGCACGGTTACATTATTAATAAGGAGCTTCAAAAAGGGTAAATGTGCAGGAGGCAAGTGTGTGGTGTCATTTATACTTATCTCCGCAGCATCCTTCACAAGATCATCTTTAAAGAGACCCTGTCACCAGTGCATTTGTTTCAGAATATTACATGAAGATTACATCTTCATGAACATATTTTATACATGTATTTTACCTGTAAAACCCTCCCTTGTGTAGACATCAAAAAAAGCCCTTAAACTGCTGGTGGGCACGTCATCTTGGATGTGATGTCAGCAACCCCAGAAGACTCAGAGCTGTCACTCAAATGACACTCAATGGTATTTTCCTTCACTCCTACCTCAGCAGCTACATAAAAAGTTATGCAGAGAGATGAGGGGAAGGACAGAAGAGCTGGGCATGCACAGATAGTAATTACACACTCCCAGAAAAGGAGAGCGCTATGGAGTGGCATGAAGGAGGGTAAACTGTGGCTGTGCTAGAGAATTGACTCTTCCTGGACTGGTCAAATTCCTCTTGAAAGTTCAAAGGCACATTTGCAAATTAAAGGAGAACTATGGGGTCAGGGCTTTTCCCCATAGTTCTCCTAAGGATCACGGGAGAACACAAACTAGCGTTCTCCCATGACCCAAAGCTCAGTATACCGCGAGCTACAGTTTCATTGTCACAGGTTGCTGACAGTTTCATTGTCACAGGTTGAAAATCACTCGCCTCATAATTCTCCTTTTAATAAATTGTTTACGAAAAGTAAAAATGCTACAAGCAAGTATTTAAAATTCTTGATTTGTCTGTGATTTTACCTGCAATTGTTGGTGACAGGGTCTCTTTATAATCTTGACTTTCACACTTCTCGCTGTGTGCGTGCTTCCAGACCCAGCAGTCTTCTCTGTCTAGTCAGGAAATTCCCTTAGATATTTAATGGGGCTGACTACTTCAATACAAAAATGCAGAATGCTGAGACCAGGAGTACAGACACAGGAGAGCCAAGGACTTAAAGCAGCAGATCTTGGAAAAGAAACTTTAGAGCGAAGTGTAACTGACATGTTCCTCTCCCTCCTACAGTCTATATTCATATGTACTGTATGTGTGTATGTTGGTATGGTTTTGATGTGAATATGTCACTTTGTATGGTTTTAGTGTGATCACGTCACTCTCAGATTGTGTCATACATGCAGTACATATGGTGAAGAATAAAAAATGTCTGATGCGCTGTATTTGTCCATCTAAGTACATTAGTTTCATCAGCAGTGACTTTGTGAGCAGACATTCATACTTTCCCTGTTTGCAGAAGCCATAAAGTTTGAACCCTCCACCGCAATGAATACGGTTGACATGGTTTTGCATAATTATGTATAGTTTTGGTGCGACATGGACAGATGCCACTTCAGGCGGTGCCTAGAATTCCCAGCTTTTGAAATGTAAAGTATAATATATATACTGTAACTTGCAACCATTGTGGTCTAATATTGCCTCTTATTGCAGTGTTTTTGGTTCTGTGGTCTCATTATTTTATTAAAAACACCTCGGCAGTATTTACAGCTATTTCTAGTAAAGGGAATGCACACTTTATACTCAGTGTGCACATATTTTAGGTTATTATTGCAATGTTCACCTTTATTACATTCTTGGTAGCACTTTCATTGCCTATGAAAGGGACAGCATTTACAGCTGCCATAAAGTGGATCTTTCATGTCATCATTGATATTTTACAGATATACGTGTAGCTAGAAAGGAAAAAAAAAGAAAAGTTACTGAAAATGATTGCTGACCCTAGGTCTTTTTTACTTGAATTCATTATGCAGAAAAGATAGAAGCCTGCTGAGATCTGTGCACACTATAGGCTTTATTAAGATGAGATACAATGGTTCCTCTAGTGTAGAGAATGGTTTTATAATCTGAAATACACCCACACATGGGAAGCAAAGTTATGCTCCCAAAAACAATTGACTGAGGGACTGCCCTATGACATTAACTGCGGTTGAATAGCACCATTTTGTGCAGATGTAAAATGTCTATTTTCGCAGATACATATATATGTGCAGCTATATAGCTGCATTAAGGGTAAAGCGGATAATTTGTTTCAGCAGATATAGAGCCATATTTAAAAAATGTGATTATTATAAAGTTAGCTGTAATAGATAAGCCACTGTTATTATGGCAAGACCCCCTGGTGATGATGTGGGCTCATCTGAGGTGCAGAGTCTGAGCACCAGCCAGTTTTCACCAGAACTCTTGATGGTGGAGATGGGTTTCGTTTCGTGCTGCTACCAGGGTTGCAGCTCTCAGGATTGCCCTTCCAGGGAATGAGTGAGTGAGGAGACTCTAGGTGGCTATGATGTGGAGACGGTACACCAGGGCAAGACTAGAGGAAGGTTGGGCCCAGGCAGAGGTTGTCATCGGGCAAGGGAGCAAAATGGTCAGGTTCAAGTTGAGGTTGTAGACAGGCGGCAGACAAGAGAGTAGTGAGGTAGATCTGGGTCAGCAACAAAAAAGGTCATTAGTAATGTAGTAAAGCTCTGTTTGCAGAAAGCAGGGTAGCTGGCAAAAAGACCCAGGACCAGCCACCTCCAGCCACTGATGCTTAAATACACCTTGGAACAGTGGACACATTCAGCGTCATTTTAGGGAGCTCTGGCATTCCTGGAAGTGATGCTGTGAGTACCATTAGAAGTACTGGCAGAGATTCTACAGGTGTCCTTGGAAGCCCTGGCAGGGAATTTGGAAATCTTGGCAGGGATTCTGTGGACACCATTGAAGTAATGGCAGAGATTCTGTGAGTGCCATTGGAGGTTCTGTCAGGGATTCTGCGAGTACCATTAGAAGTACTGGCAGAGATTCTAGAAATCTTGGCAGGATTCTGTGAACACCATTGAATTACTGGCAGAGATTCTGGCAATGTCATTGGAAGTTCTGGCAGGGATTCTGTATATCCTGGAAGGGATTCTGCAAACACCATTAGCAGTGCTGGCAGACCTGCAGGTATTTTATCTGCTGCACCTTGTGATTGAGTGCCAGTGCAGAGGTACTGTAAAAGCTGAACTCCGGGATAAGCAAATATTGTCTAATTACAAGAGTCATGTGTATTCTTACTTGAATCTTGGTGTGATTTGTGTATTTTTCCAGATCTGTGTAGTAATCCAGTGTGAAACTATGCATCTGTGCAGGAGCTTCCTGTAATAAAGACCGGTCACTGCTGCTCTCTCTCCTTGTGCAGGGTGGCTAGTCTTGTATCTGCCCCTCCTGTAGTTTTCTACAGGCCGCCTGTAATGGGTGGAGCATGTTGGGTCCCTCCCACAGTTCTGCTCTCTGCACAAGCCATGTGCAGCGCAGTTATAATGTCAGTGCTCTTTTTACAAAGTAATAACTGCATTTGCAAAGGCATTAATAACCCAGGGCAACTGGTCATCTATTAATTTACTGAATCCTTTGTGGCTATTGAGGAATATATTTAGATGGAAGCTTTTGTGCCTGGAGTTCAGCTTTAAGCCTACAGTTAATTGATTTACTTGCCAGTCATCATACGAACACATTTATCTGTAGCTGATTTTTACAGCTTCGTGTACTACTGAACTGTACCAGCGTTTCATCTTGTAATGTGCTTTGCAGCAAACCTTCTGATTTGTTGTCTTTTTTTAGTGTTTTAAATGCTGAAGAGTTATCTGTGTCAGTTATCATTCTTTGTATCAGGAAATTGTCACTGAAGCAGTGGAGGAGCACACATTTTCTGTTTGGTCTGTAAATAAATCAACCATACATTTGAAGATCTGAACAGAAGCATAGTGTATGGGAAAGTGACCTTTTTAGTAATTGCTTTTGATGCATATTTCAGCTGGAGTGGATAAACACTCTCAAGATAAAACCTCATTTGAACGGTGATCTGTATGTCAGTGTTTATGAGAACATCAGCTTAGATGCTTGTAATAACATCAGTTTTTAGAATGTTGCTATAGCACACTACAATGTCATGAAGATGTAGACAGATCTTCACAAGTAATGGTTGGTAAAATAGAAATGTTCTGTATTATTACCAATGACGCTTCCCGCTGTTAGTTGTAAAGGTCACCAAGTACCATTCATGCATCTAGCAGGAGAAATTGGAAAGGAACATCATTAAGCTTGGTCAATAAGGCTGTGTAATATTTGTAAAGCACTACTTAATAATATAGGCACTATGTGAATGCATAATCTATAAATACATACTAAATATTCATATTAAATAAATACATACTAAACAATGGACAAGGATTAACCCATGGCTACCGGTCTTCTATTATTTGAATCCCAGTAAGTGAAAGAACAATGCTAAATAATTGCTTTGGATTATTGCATGTTTGACTTATTACTGCTGCTACCGTTGTACAGTAATCTAGAAAGAGAACAAGAGGGACTCAAAACAAAAAATTTTGCCACTTCATGTTAACTAATTTAGAATAGTTTTTTGGATCTGTGCATATCATAATGGATGCCT